ATATATTGTATATATATATTGTATATTAGTTATTTTTTATTTATATTTATAGATATTTTAACCAACATTTTTTTAGCATTCTCCTCTCAGAAATAATAATAATGTACTATTTTCAACTGTAAAAAATTATATAAAACTTTGTTCATATGACAAAATGAAACTTATTTCAGACAAGTCTAGTCTGACATTCCTAGTCAAGATTGATTTATGTTTTGTAATAGGCGATAATTCTTTGATATTTCATGGCTAATAAAAGGATTGAGAATCATTTCGTCAAATTGTCTGATCGTCGAGGGTAAACAAGGAAATATGAAACGCTAGTAAATCGTCCGACATTTTCAAGATACCTACTGCGAGAGCGCTTAGAAGATATTCCTTGAGAAAGCAATGCTCTTTGTGGGATGATCAACAGACAGCTACGATTCTTTAAAGTGCGAAATGGCATTTGCAATCTTTGTTCGTGAGATATCGTTTCTATTTGTTAGTTATTCAATATGAACTAGTGAAAGTTAATATTTTGCATTTTATTTTATACCTAAATACTTCATATGAAATTTTCCTAAATAGATCTTGCAATCTAATAGATTTGCGTAAACAATTTGTAAAATTTTTAGATTAAATCTTCTGAAATATAGTTATATTTGCATATAGTTATATTTTATAATTAATACTTTATGATACTTGAGAAATATTGTGTTGTGCAATCAATGGTTCATATAAAGTTCTACAACAATCTGTGAATAAAATACAAATCTTTTTTGTATTAGAAATAAAACGTGGAAAGAAAATTATCAAAAGAATATTATCTCCGAATCGGTTCTATTTCCATTTAATAATTTAGTTTTGTAAATGACATCTTGTCTTTCATGCGATCTAATGAAGATCCACTGTTTCTATGAAGAAAATATAATAAAGAATCCGAAATCGATTTTCTCCTATTATTGAAAAAATATGTAAAAATCATAAAATATTTTCACGGTTAAGGCGCAAATAATTGAATAAAATCATTAACCGTAACAAATGTACAAACATTTTCTTATATCTTCGATGTCGCGGGATCGCAAAGTTTATTTGATTTCCTCGTTTCTTATTCAGTCGGTGAGAAAAGCAGCGTCTCGAATCGCTCAAAGAGATAACAGAAAAGATAGAACAGCGATTGAACGACAAACTAGTGAACACTTTCTACGTCGGGTGCGATGAAAGGTTGAATGGAGAAATCATGAGCGACGCCAGAAAACAAGAATGAGGGAATCGCCGTGAGAACCGAAAAAAAGGAGGAACTTTGTTTATCATTCTTTCTGGTCCGGTGAAATTTCACCGTTTTGCATGGTTCAAGGAAAAGGTGAAGAGACAACGCAAAATAAAACCGAGAAAAGTGGAGCGGTTAGAGAGGATGCATCCTATGCGTTACGGATAACAATGCAATCTCGGGCGCGTCCCACCCGCGCGACTGTGAGAGGATTCTCATTATTACTTCTCGGACGCAATACGGAAAACGGTGATTAGTTGTGCAAATGGACAAACGGAGCAACCTCCGGCAGTAACATAACTATGTCCGATATGGGAATAAGAGAGAAAGATAGAAATTCAAATCATGACATAAGATCATTCGAAGATATGCGAAGAGACTTCTCGCAACGATAAAACGCGAATACTATAGAATAGAATACTATATGAATAGAATATTGTTTCCGCAGTCATTAACTTTGAGAATTAATTTAAAGAATATATTCACTGTTAATAATCTCTTAATTGACTTCAACAGATTAGTTATACAGTTGAAATCTGTTGAAGTTAAATAAATAATAAAATAATTCATTTTATTTATCTTATTTATGAGATCTTTGCATAAACGAGTCATATATAAATAATTTCATATAAATAATTAATGGATAAATTATTGGAAGGAAATATACTTATTAAAATTAATAAAAACGTTTAATAAAATTTATAAAGATTATTCTATAAATCATTTGCACGTTGCACAAGCAACGTGCAGACAATTATTTCCTTCGATTATACAAATAGAAGAGCTCAGGCATGTTTTTGTGTTTTCTTTTTTTATTAATTGGTATATTGTTACTTCTTGAACATTTATTTTAAAGTAGTCCGCGTGATTACGCACATTTGCCATAAATATATGTATAGGCAATTATCTTTACAAAACAATGAAAAAACTTATTTATTATACGAGAGAATGAACATAATTCATTATAAAATCTGTAACACTCGTACTATGTTACTTTGTACATGTGTGCTCTTACGTGTCCAATTAATATTGTGTTCTTTCACGATTCGAGAAATCTAAATTACGCTAGCAAAATGTGCGTTCAACATGTCGATGAAAGGACCACACATAATTGTATGGAAAATTGGATAAGATGAGATTGATTTTCACATATGTTGCAGCTTATAATGTAAATAAACAAAATATGTTATATATAATATATATAATTCAAATAATGAATAATTCTTGTAGTGTGTCAAAATGTAAAATTTACCTTTGATATACATTATAAATATTCATTATTTGAGCCATATGTACATAATTTTTGTATATAACATTTTTTTTCACCGCATTATAAGCTACAGAATGTGTAAAAACTAACTCTTTCACCGAAACCCAATTTTCTATATAATTAGTTTCGGAGTCCTTTGATAAAATAGTGCAAGCGAGATGGAGTGACGAAAAGCTCGACAATAGCGGTAGAGAGAAAAAAAGAGAACAGAATACTTTCATGTACCAATTATTAAATAGACTGGTACATCTTGGATGCATTTCTCACCCTATTTGTCGATAGTCATAAAAACGGTCGAGCTGACTGTACATAAATATCTTCCGTAAGAATCTGAAATGTCCCATATAAGTCAACGACATTTCTTGCATTTAGTGGTTCAAATTTTGTGTTATAATATTTCCTAATCTTAGGTGGTATTTTTCGCAATAAAACTATTTACAGCTTTTAAAATACTTATTAATATAAAATTCATAATTTCGCATAAATTAAGGGGGAACAGGAGATTTGTATAGTTAAAGGCAAAATTTGCGAATTTATTTCAGAGAAAGAAATAAAGTTTTCTGTTTAGAATTATATTTCAAATGTAGAAAATTAATTTGTAATATTATAAAATTTATTAAAAATATAGGAGTTTTTTATTATTGAAGATAGGCACTTGAAAATTTCAAATGTCACAATTTTGTAAGTCTTAAAGAAACATTTTACTGTTTTCTGGTCTAGTTTTCTTCAGGACTTTGTCCTAGATTGAAAATTAAAGTTAAAATAAATAATTAGGAAAATGTTACCACAAAATAGTAACATAAATAACGTGAACATTAGAGTTTTACATTTACGTAGTTATCATTTTGTAATAATTTTCACAGTCTATTTTAGATTCAATCTGAAAAGCAAAATTAGATCAGGAAATAAAATTGCCCTTTTAGAAGCCATAAAATTTTGGAAAAATTTGGAATTTCAAATTTGTCTTCAATGACACAAAAAAATTCTTATTTTTAAATAAATTTTTTATTGTAAATCAACTTTCTATTAACTTTCTATTCAATATATTTTTAATAGAATAGTAACTAATACATCTGTATCTGTATTTATTTCTTTCTCTGAAATAAATTCGTAAATTTCGCCTTCAGTTTCACTATACAAACTTCCTGTTCCCCTTTAAGATGTGTAATATTTAAACGGAACACATAAACAATTCATATTGCGAAGAAAATAAATACGTGTAGAACAAAAGTCAAATTGTTGCTATTAAATCTCAAATGTTATTTTACAATGTACGATACAATCGTACGTGATCATGTTGGATGTTACTACGCGATATTTAGAGCACATAAATGAAAATAAACGCATTGCTTCTTGGGACTATGGAAAATCAGTAATCAACACGTGAGATATCTTGTTAACGGCACGTGCTTTGCGAATTGTCACCCAGCAAAACGAATAATCATCTTTAAGCGAGAAAATTGTGCCAAGACATTTCCTTTTCCTTCAGTTTAAAAGAATTCTTCGCGGAATCTTTCATCGTGTCATTCTTCCTCGATATCCAAACAGTGTCTAGATATGTCCGCTATAACAATCTGTCACTTTTCTATCTCGTTTAGTAAGATGGATTTCCACGCGATGCGCGTCTCTGTGCACTTTCCACGCATCGCAGAATTACACTCGCACAAACAAATGGCAATGGCCATTGCGCTGCATAACATCGGCAACCGATAGTTTTCCATTGAGCGGTTTTGATTAGATTTACTCCGCTCGTTGCATTAATATCACGTTCTCTGACGTTTATGATTGAATCTTATTTCTATTTCCGTTTCTTTCTATACGTGGCGTTTCTTCAATCTCATTGTTATTGCATTATAATTGCGTTAATAAGACAGCGCAATTAAATTATAATTACGTATGTTAAACGCATCAATCAAAATCTTATTTTAATAATAATAAAAACTTCATTTTTATACAGGCTCAAGCTTTTTTTATGAAGCATTGAAAAGATTGACTTATAACATTTGCAAATCCGGCCTCTCTTCGATTGAATTATTCAGCTTATATATGCGTGCTATCTACTAAATAAAAAATTTACAAATAAATTGGAGGTTGTACTTACTAAAGTAGTTAAGAGTCTCCCGGATCTGATCCGGCGATAATTTCAAATCGACGTCCTCTGATTTGAGGGCAGGCGCTGGGATAAACCAATCGGCGTTCTCGTATCCTATAAATACAACACGTGACATAATGAAAAATAATCTTTTAAAAATCTTGCTATTAATATCACGCACGTGCACAAATCATCATCATAATTATCATCATCATCATCATCATCATCATCATCATCATCATCATCATCATCATCATCATCATCATCATCGACGGTCGTCGCACGATCCGAATTCGAGCAATCTAGATTACCCGTCTACTGAAACGGAGACTGCAAAAATGTGTTAAGCGCCTCGGTCTGCAAATTACTTTAAAGCATACTAATATATACTCGGGGCAACGTATTAACGTACTAATTAATACGGTAATCATATCCGTTCCGAAGACGGGTAACAAAAACGCCATTGCCTGCACGTTACAACTCGCGCAGAGCGCGGCTAAATGTACTGTTTCTAATTAGCCGCAACCCTGTCGGGAACGCATCTTTTAGAGGCTTCGTTTTATTGAAGCGATATTGGGACACGCGATACGGGCCACCAAATTAATGGTTCACCATCTGGAACGTGCCACATTATTGCTTCTAGTTCAATGGCACTTGGCGAAAGATCACGCAAGTTCTTTATATTTCCCTAAAATGTTCTTTATACTTTCACACTTCTCATGCTTTTTTTCTTTACAACATGCGATCGTACATAAAGTTCGTTGTTTACCTACTTTCGATACTATTAACTTATTTTTCTCATATTTTTATACCTACGATTGCAATATTACTTTTTACGGCGCTTTCCCTGCTTCGAATGACGCGTTGCAATTTCTTAATGTGACCCTTATGTTCGGTACTTCAGGACTCCATAAAATGTTCATTTACAAAATGCATTTCTAGACAGTTACTGGACAGGCTTCCTCGGTTAATTAGAACGTAGGAAATTCGATCGGGCACACGTTGTGGTCTTCTCTACCAATATTGATTTTCAACACCCCACTTTCTCGATTATATCAAAGACGAGTCATTACAGTAAAAGTTTACAATCATCTATAGAACTACATCAATGTTTTTCTCCTCGCGGAAATTATGTTTAATACTCAAAGTAACTGCATATTGTCGATTTTATCAATTATTATCGAATATATGACTTATCAAACCGATCAAGTTTATCTGGCATCTGATAGACTTGTCGAGATTAGCATAGCTTTATTGACGGCTGTATTTTATCGTTGTCAATAAATTCTGAAATACAAATTCGATAATGTCTAGAATACAAATTGTGTACGGGAAAAAAAAAAAAAAAAAAAAAAAAAACAGAAGGAATTCAAAGTTTCTCCGATCGTAGCGAGCGGTCATGCATTTTTTCGTTTTGTATTAAGCATACATTTTACCTTTCACCTCATGTTTTCTTAAGAGACAGAAGCAGGAGCTCACCTTGGAATTGCGTTAAGGTGTCGGCCCGGAGACGATATCTCGGTATTTGTTCTTCTAGCAGGCTGATTATCTCGACTTCTGGCAATTCCTCGCCGCTGCATACATCTGCAACAATCAAGCGCAGCATCCACCGTGGCGTTACTAACAATAAGTGCGAAGGCGCGTTCATTATGCGCGCGCCATAAAACGCGGTTCCGCTTCGAGCATAATCGAGCGCGCGTGCTACGCATCATCTCGCGACTTGTTCTCTATATGTGGGAGCTCGACGTCAGGTGCGATGGGAATGTACGCATTGTGCGTATCCGCGTTAGGCGCATTTACGAAAGAAACAGGAAAAAAAATAGCGCCGTTTAATCGTTGACTTGTTCCGCATAAGTGCAAAAATTAGAATGATGACAGTGTGATCCAATAATAGCGTTGACACAACGTTTACATCAGTGATGCGCAATTTAAGTCATTTTCAGAAACAAGTAAAATCTTGTGAGTCGTATAATGTTTATTCTGTTCTCTTTTTTTAAAAGTGATACAACTCAACAAATTGGCTTTTGCATTATTATTATTATTAATCAGTCAAGTCAACATTACTCTATTAATCTCATCAAAAGTGAACTTAATTTTTAAAAAAATCGCCAAAATTGTTATAATTAAAAAAAATATTTATAGTTTTTCCCCTTTTCTGGGAACTTAATTTTTTGAATTGTTATATTTTTAAAGTAAGAGAATAATTTTATTAGTGAAATAAAATGGAAAATAGAAAATATGATATTTTCGACTATGAGACGGCCGACAAAAAATTTACAGGCAGACCACAAGTTGCGCATCATTGGTTTAAATT